TTGCTGCAGGCATCGGATCTGAGTTTCAGTTTCAGCAGCCACGAGACCCTAGGAATGATTTTTTCTCTGGTTGCTGCAATCCTCGTAAGTTGCTGCTGCTGCCGCTGCTGCTGCTGCTGCTGCTGCCGCTGGCTGTACTGATCGTCTGCATCGCAGCAGCTTCTACCTGCAGCAGCAGCAAGCAGCAGTAGCAACAGCAGCAGCAGCAGGGTGGTGGTTGTGCTGCTGCAGCAAGGCCTGACCTTCGTGCTGAATGAGAGATTTATGGAGGACCCAAGCGAGCCAATCTGCGGCCTCAACTTGGTGTTTATGATTGGGTTAGCTGCTGCTGCTGCTGCTGCTGATGCTGCTGCTGCTGCTGCTGATGCTGCTGCTGCTGCTGTCGCTGCTGATGGTGCTGCTGCTGTTGCTGTTGATGCTGCTGTGGCTGATGATGGTGCTGCTGCTGTAGCTGCTGATAGTGCTGCTGCTGTAGCTGCTGATGGTGCTGCAGCTGTTGCTGTTGCTGCTGCTGTTGTTGTTGCTGCAGCTGCTGCAGCGGGTCTACTTTTTGTGTTGCGGTGTTCTCTGCATGCAGAAGCATCAGCACCGCCTTGCTGCTGCTTTGGTCTTGCGTATGGACCTTGCCTCGGGTGGGCAATCAGCCAACTAGCTAGCTAGCTAGCTAGCTAGCTGGCTAGCTGGCTAGTTGGGTAGCTAGCTGCATAGATGCGCCGCGTATCAACCTTGCCTGAGGTAGACCCCCTGACTCCTCTTAGCTAGTTGCCTAGCTAGCTAGCTAGCTAGACAGCTAGACGGCTAGACAGCCAGCTAGCTGGAGAGCTAGACAGCTAGCTAGCTAGCCAGTGAAGTACCTGTGTGATTGTAGGTGGACGAGTTAATAGTAAGCCGCGTGCGAAGCCAAGGAGGAGACCCATATACAATTTTGCTGCTGCTGCTGCTGCTGCTGCTCTGTGGGGCCGTTCACTCCGCCACCATGTGGTTCATCATCGCAAAGCTTGGTCTGCTGCTGCTGCTGCTGCTGCTGCTGCTCCTTCTGTTGTTGCGGCTGCGCTGCTGCTGCTGCTGCTGCTTCTGTTGTTGCGGCTGCGCTGCTGCTGCTGCTGCTGCTTCAGTTGTTGCGACTGCGCTGCTGCTGCTGCACTACTGCTGCTGCTGCTGCACTACTGCTTCTGCACTTTTGCTGCTGCTGCAGCTGCACTTGCTGCTGCTGTTGCTGCACTGCAGTGAGAAGTTCTGCTGCTGCTGCTGTTTGCTGCTGCTGCAGGTGCTGTTACCTCGGGGGCGCTGAAGGGCTGCAAGGCCGCAGCAGTGGTGGTGCTCAGCCACATCTTGTTCTGCAGTGTGCAGGTCTGCTGCTGCTGCTGCTACTGTTGCTGCTGCTGCTGCTGTTGCTGCTGCCGCTGCTGCTGCTACTGAGAATTCCAGTGCGATCCGAAGGGAGGCCCAAACGTTCATATTACCTTCTGTTGCTGCTGCTGCTGTTGCTGTTGCTGCTTCTGCTGTTGCTGCAGGAGTCTCAGTGCGTAGACCTGCAGAAAGGCGTAGCTGCTGCTATGTGTATTGCCGGTGTGGTGCTGCACTCGCTGCTTTGAGGCCCCGCGGGCCCCAAGCAGCAGCAGCAGCTGCTGCTGCTGCTGCAGCAGCACCAGCAGCAACTGTGCAAGCAGCAGTAGCACCAGCTGCTGCAGCTGCTGCTGCAGCAGCTGAAACAGCAGCAACGGCTGCAGTAGCAGCAACAATAGCACCAGTTCCTGTAGTTGCAGCTGCAGTAGCAACTGCAGCAGCAGCAACCGCAGCAGCAGCTGCTGCTGCAGCCGCAGAAAGGATGCGCTCCGAAGGACGCCAGCGATTGGTGCGGGCGGTTTGTGCCTCCGCCCAGCCAACCAAATGGCTAGTAGGTGGCTAGCTAGCTAGCTAGCTAGCTAGTTAGTCACTTAGCTAGCTAGCTAGCTCAATAGCTAGCCGAGTTTAGTACAGCTAGCTAGCTAGCCAGCTAGCAAGCCGACCTTAGTTTGGTTAGCTAGCTAGCCAACTGTAGCATGGCTAGCTAGCTCGTCGGCTACCCGAATTTGAAATGGCTAGCTAGCCACCTTTATTATGGCTAGCTAGCCACCCTTATTATGGCTAGCTAGCCACCCTTATTAGGGCTAGCTAGCCACCTTTATTAGGGCTAGCTAGCCACCTCTAATATGGCTAGCTAGCCACCCGCAATATGGCTAGCCAGCAAACTTTAGTATGGCTAGCCACCCGTAATATGGGTAGCTAGCGAACTCCAATGTGGCTAGCTAGCCATCTTTAGTATGGCTAGATAGCCGTCTTTAGTATGGGTAGCTAGCCAACTCTAATATGGTTAGCTAGTTAGGTTAGCTAGCTAGCGAACAACGATATCGTTAGCTAGTGACTGATATGTCTAGCTGAGCGACTCTACAGCTAGCTAAATGTCTCTATGGCTAGCTTAACAACAGGGCGCCTAGCTACATAGCTAGCTAGGGCTTCGGCTAGCTAGCTACCAACCTCTCTAGCTAGCTACTAACCCCTCTTGCTAGCTAGCTAGCTGAATTGCTCCGCTGTTTGTTTTCTAACAGACAAATGATGCAGAGTTCAGCTGCCAATTATCACCTCCCCAGGGACCCTCCGCAGCAGCAGCTGCTGCTGCTGTTGCTGCAGCTGCTGCAGATGCAGCAGGGGCCCAAAGCGCAACTGCCGCGTCCGCTTCGAATGCTGCAGGAGCGCGAGCAGCAGTAGCAGCTGCTGCAGCTGCTGCAGCTGCTACTGCAGGAACTGCTGCTGCTGGAGCTACTGCTGCAGCTGCTCATGCTGCAGCTGCTGCAGCAGCTGCTGCTGCTGGAGTGTGTAGTTTGCAGCCATTTGTTGAGGAGAGGTGAGGAGACACCTGGCTGCGCATGAAGAAGACAAAAGGAGACAAAGAGAGACAACAGAGTATCAGCTGTCTCCGATGGTGCTGCAATCAATAAACAATGTCTTGTTGCTGCAGCAAAGGCTGCTGCTGCTGCTGCAGCGGGCAGGTGGAGAGCAGCGGCCACCCAGCAGCTCCAGAGTAGGAGACGCAATTCCGTCATCTGCTGCAGCAGTTGCTGCTGCATCCTCCTGCTGCTGCTGCAGCAGCTGCTGCTGGTTGCTGCTGCTGCTGTTGCCTACACCGTGCAGCAGCAGCTCCAGCAGGAAGGGCCCCTCTTTTGCGGTGTATGTACACTCCAACTCTCCTTTTAATTCTGAGAGACCGGCGATAAGATCTCTATCTTGCTGCTGATCCTGTCCTGCTGCTGCTGCTGCTCGTGCTGCAGCAGCAGCAGCAGCAGCAGCAGGAGACTGCAGCAACGGCAGATAACCCAGCAGCGCCTCCGGCTCAGTTGCGCGCCTTACGATTGAAATATGATGAGTAAGAAGAGACACAAACAAAGGCTGCTGCTGAAGTGGCAGCTTCGCACCCCTTTCCTGCTGCTGCTGCTGCTGCTGCTGCTGCTGCTGCTGCTGTTGGGGGAAGGACACGTCTACGAGGTCTAGAAGAGACAAAAGGGCGCGCAGCAGCAGCCACTGCAGCAAACGGAGACAACTCTCCCGCAGTGCTGCTGCTGCTGGGTGACAGTCGAGCGGCAGCAATTCACAGAGACGCTGCAGCAGCAGCAGCAGAAGCAGCAGCAGCACACAAGAATACCTGTCTTTCGCAGCAAACAGGCGTAGAAGAAGAGCAGCAGTAGCAGGAATAGCAGCAGCAACAGCAGCAACAACAGCAGCAGCAGACCAGCAGCAGCAGCAAAGCCAGCAGCAGCCGCATGAACAACAGCAGCAACGGCAGTACTACCAGCAGCAACAGCAGCCGGGCGGGGAGCAGCAGCAGCAGCAGGAAGAGCAGCAGCAGCAGCAGCAGCAGCAGGCACATTAGCAGCAGCAGCAACAGCAGCAGCAGCAGCAGCAGGTGCATACCATGAGGACATCTCTTGCTTGTTTGTCTTTGTGATGCTTGATAGTTTCCTCGCTGCGCCCTGCTGCAGTTTGGTTTGCTGCTGCTTCCAGCAGCAGCCGTTCTGCTGCTAACTCAGCAGCAGCACGGGCGCCTTCAACTCCAAGCAGCGCAACAGGGGCCTCTGCTCGATGCATGCAATCATCAGCAGCAACGAGAGCTCTCCACACCCCTCCTGCTGCAGCAGCAGAACAACGCATCCTGCTGCTGCTGCTGCTGCTGCAGTCGTTGCTGCTGCCGCTGCCGCAGGGGTCGGCGGGAGCTTGTGTGTCTGCTGCAGCAGCAGCAGCACAAGCAACTGCAGCAGAGCCGATCTGCTGCGGGGGGCAGTAAAAGACAAGCGCAGCAGTTGAAGGCTGCAGTGTCTGTACAGTTCCGACTTCACCGCAGCGGCGAGCGCACGCCCACTCAGCAATCCTGCTGCTGCTGCTGCTGCTGCTGCTGTTTTTGTTGCTGCTGGGGGTGGCAGTGGCTTGTGCAGCTTCCGCAGCAGCAGCTAGCGCCTGGTGAACGGAGATAGAAGAAGCGAGTTGCTGCTGTTGCTGCTGTTGCTGTTGTTGTTGTTGTTGCTGCTGCAGCAGCGCGTTCAGTCCCCCCGCATTCCCTTCTCTCTCTGCTGCTGCCTCTGCAGCAGCAGCAGCAGCTGCTGCTGCTGCTGCACCTGCTGCAGCAGCTGCTGCTGCAGGTGCACTCCAGCAGTCTGAGCCTCTTCTATTTGTTTGAGGGGTTGTAGGGCCGGTGGAGGCGACGGCATTGAGAGAGAGAGGAGGTGAAGAAGGAAAGCAGCTGTCTAACTTATCTGTACATTCTGCTGCTAAGCCCTCGCAACTAAATAAACCCAAATGCTGCTGCTGTTGCTGCTGCTGTTGTTGTTGTTGTTGCTGCTGCTGCGGTGGTGGTGGTGGCAGTGTGTTGCTGCTGCTGCTGCTGAACCCGTTATGTTTAGAAGGGAAGAAGCGACGGGGAGTGAAGGAAGAAACAAAAGAGCGGTGGGCGCTGCTGAGGTGTACAGGCACCTCCGAACCCTCTGCTGCTGCTGCTGCTGTTGTTGTTGTTGTTGTTCCAGCAGCAGCAACAGCAGCAGCAGCACCAGCAGCACCAGCAGCACCAGCAGCAGCAACAGCAGCAGCAGGTGTGTCCTCCTCACCTGCTGCTGAACGGGCGAAAGGCAGCCACTTTCTTCTCCCGTACTTCATTTTGTTTGCGAGAGCAAATAAATAAATAAATATAATATTATTTATTTATTTATTTAAAGACAGCTCGCAGCCCTCAGCAGAGACAGCAGCAATGCCAACAGTAATAACAAAAAAAACAAACAAAAAACAAAGACAACAACAATAGCAACTGCTGCTGATGCTGCAGCAGCAACAGCAGCAACAGCAGCAGCAGCAGCAGCAGCAGACCAATGGCCAGCGCCGTGCTGCTGCTGCCGCTGCGCGCTGTCTAGAGGAGTATAAATAGACGACAAGAAACAAGTTTAAAAATAATGATTATTCATATTTTAATTAATTATTAAATTAATTTAAGTTAATTAATTATATTAATTCTTTTAAACCCTGCTCTGCTACTCCGAGCAAACCCTAGCCACAGCAGGCATTCACTTCATTAGCAACACCGAGGGTTTAGGGTTTAGGGTTTAAGGGTTTTAGTAAGAGATTAGGGTTTAAGTGTTAAGATTATAAGGGTTTTAACTTTAAGGGTTTAGGGTTTAGGTGGATTTAAGCGCTTGGAGGCATAGACTTTAGGGTTTAGGGTTTAGGGTTTTGAAGGGTTTAGGGGTCTACAGTTGATGGTTTAGGGTTTAGGAGTAGCAATTTCTGCTGTCAGGGTTTATCTACGGTTGGAGAGGGATTAGGGTTTATGAGGGTTTAGGGTTTAGGGTTTGTGAGGGTTTAGGGTTTAGGGTTTATGAGGGTTTAGGGTTTATTTATACAGACATAGTCTCTCTGTCCTTCTATTGTTATATATTGTAGATAGGTATAAAAAGAAACAAATAATTATAAACAAATTTATTTTATCTTATTTTATTTTATTTTATTGATATTTGTTTTGTATTTTTCTTCTCCTGCAGACTGCAGTAATAAATAACACAGAATATATAAATATATAAATATACAAATATATATATATATATATATATATTTATATATATTTATATATAAATATACAT